AAAAGCTCCACATGCCCGCAAGCCTCGTAAGGATAAAGCGGTTCAGATAATGGATGGAGGACAGCCACCTACTGCCAAGTCATTAAAACACAGTATGTACAAATACGGCTTTACAATGATACTTAACCATATTTATAACATCATACCTCCCTATGGATGAAATAGCAAGGGTTTTGGTAAAAATATAAACTAGCGTGAGGGTGAGCGGCCAACTGTCATTTTTTGCAATGGTCAAGTCCTAGTCGGGTTTGAAAGCATCGCGTAGGGTGTGGCAGCCCTAAGGCAGTTTGGTTCCAGTTTTGTTTCAAATATGTGTTTGTGGCTGATTGTCAAAAAAAAAAAAAAATCAACACCGTTGCAGAAGCTTTTATAAAATTCAATAATCCCTTCTAAGCAGAAACAAAAAGAGTCTTTCCACGTGAAGTGAGCATGCATCACCCCGTTGTTTGCTATTCGCTGTCTTTCTCAGACGCACCTGTGGGAACAAAGAGCATTACAGCATTGAACCATAGCTCTGAAGAGAATGACTTTTTTTACTGAAGGAATTTGCATGCAAGCACAAGTTGACGAAACATAAAAAGGTGTGAGTGACAGGCAAGAGGCAGGCAGGCGAGCAATGAAGGGAAATCAAGGAAGAGAGGGCAGCCAGAGAGTAACGGACCAAATTCTGCTTCTACAGCAGTGCTGAGTTGATGTCAGAGTCCGAATCGTGTCCAGGGGTGAGGAACGGCTCGTGGGGAGAGATGGACTCCTGACCCCGCCTGTACTCTTGGTACTCCTGCCGGAGAGCGTTGAAACGCGCCTCGCTAAGGGATTGGCGGTACTGGCTGCAAGGTGTGTTGGAAACAGGTGGGCAGGCTGGGGGAGGTGAGCCTGAGGGAGGGCACGGGGAACAGGAAACGCATGGATGGATGTCATGGGAAAAGCTCACGATAATCACAACACTTATGGGGCAAGCACATGCGGCACCATCACATTCAATGTCAATCTCAAAGGGCACATACATGCAAGACACGGAAACATCGAGAAAGTGACATCACCTTTGTTTCTTTGGTCCTGGAGGCCAGCAGGTTGATCGCAAACAAGCCTCCCTCTGCTTCTCTGGAAATCTGCTTGTGACGGATCAAACCTCAAGGCCTCCAGGACTTCAGAGTCCACGCATGCGTCAGCAGAATCCCACTCATAACTTTCATCTACTGACGTGTTCCTTCTACTGGGATACACAAAAGCAAAAAAGTCAGAATGATGCAATGCCATATACAGGAAGTGAGACAAAAACAGTGTTATTTTGGCAACAACAACAAATCCCTCCACCGTGAGAAAAGTCCTGTTTGTTGTCTAATTCCCGGTGAGGTAATGTTTCACCTTTTCGATCTCCTCTCAGGCGGATCCAGCTCAGCTCTGTGCCGCTCACTCTCCTCTGTGGTTTCGGGGGAGCTGAGCAGTGTGGGAGTGATGGAAATTGACTGGCGGAAGGGACCGGCACTGCCCCTCCCGCTGCTCTGACTGGCATAGCTGGCCCTGCCTCCTTCTCTGACCTCTCGAGGCTCTGTCTCTCCAAACCTCCTCATCATTCTGTCTGCCTGTCTGTAACTGTCAACCTCCCTCTGAGGGAAAGGCATGCAGATGGGTGAGGGCCAACTGATGCCTCTGGGCAGGTAGGACCTCGGGGGACCCGTTCTGGGATACATCAGCCGCATGTTCTCTGATCTGGGTCCGGGCCAGGGGTGATGATTGGGAACTGGGATGCTGGTGGACATGGGGACGTATTTGTACTGAGCAGATCTCAGCATATCTTGGTAAGAGGGGGACCACCTTGAGGAATCAGAGAAAACTGCCGCTTGCCTTTGTGAATCGCAGTGTTCCGACACTGGGGAGACTGGCCTTTCTCTGGGTGGGTACATGGTAGGGGTGAAGTAGGAGGGACTAGATCTTTGCGCGCATCGGGGCCTATCCAAACTCCCCACGGTGGGACGCCTGAGGGGGATGTACTCTCTCCAGGAAGGACCTGGCCGGAGAAAGGAAGATGGAGTGCGACCTAAGCTGTAAGATTTCACCCTGACATCTGGGTTTGGGAGCTCATCCCAGTAACATTTCTCAGAGATGTATGTCCTCGGGCTCTCAATGTGCTCCCATCTCGGGGAGCCAAAACTGATAGATTTCTTAAGGAAAGGTCGGGGGGGTCCCATACCTGAGAGTGTTCTACAAGGGCCGACACTTAAGGATTTCTTCAGAAATGGCACAGGGGCTTGGCTTATTCGCAATGCAATGTTATTGGTCCGACTGCCCTGAGAACCTTGTTTTTGGGATTGCTCAGATAAAGACTCACTACTATCCATGAAGCTCGGAGAATGTTTTGACACAATGTCCACCATGCCTTTTGCGGCACTGAGCAAAGTGTGAGCTGGTCTGGAACCCGGTCTTGACTCACCGCTTTTAGTTTCAGCTCGAGTCTGTGTTTTTTCATTATATAGTTGTTTGCTGGTTTTTTCTGGAGCAGGTGAGAGTGGTCTTATGTCGTCTGGAAACCTTACTCGAGGCAGAGATTCCCGTGCTTCAACCTGAGGCCTAAAGCCATGTTTTTCTCGAGAATGTGATGGTTCAAAGCAACCCTTCATTTTGCTTGATTCAGTTTCTGCAATTTCCTGGACATGAACCTCCCAGTTTTTAGGGACTACATCAGGCTTAGCCACGATGGACTGTACAGATTTTTGGTCCAAAAAGTGTCCAGCGGCAGCTGTAACTTCAGCTTGTTCCGCAGGATCATCTACGCTCATCTCAATAAAACCTGGAAGGCTTAGGTATTCCAGAATTGCACTCGTCTGCAGTGACGACATTTTAGGAGGGGATGCAGCTGGCTTGGTCTTGAATGACCCTGACATTCTGGGGATAGAAAATTGGGATGGATCACTTTCAGCTTCTTCAACAAGATTCAGTGTCGACATAGGGCTGGGACTAAGACATTTTTCGCTCCTCCTCGAGTGTGCTCGGACACCTTCTCTTTCTGATCCAAAGCTGTGATGGTCTTCAGAGCCTTGATGTTTACTCTCTGTGCCATTTGATTTAACTTGATGCTCACAGAGTGAGGTTGGGACACCTGGGGGACCGGGATCCCTTGTGGCTGCATATAATGTCGAAGCGGTAAAACCTGGACTTGCAGACCGCTTACTGAAAACTAAAGGACTTCGAGAGCCCCAATTTCGAGTGCCATACGCATATGAATTCCTGGACCGTGACGGAGCACCTCCAACACTAATATTTTCCCTTAGGCCCTCCGTCATAGACCTACTACACAGATCTGAATCTCTGTGAGGACTCAGTGACTTGGCTCTCGGGGACATCGCCAAACATCGAACTGTGGAGTTTTCAAATGTCACATCCGTGGAAGGCATGGGAAGGGAGGTGTTCTGAGTCACTGGAGAATGTGATAAATCAACAGCAAGAGAGTCCGTAGTTTCCGCGCACGAATGAGGATGCTGTAACTTTTGTAATCCTGTTGATGTGGTCTCCCAGTGGCTCTTTCCTGGAACAAGGTGAGTTATGGCTGTAACAGGGCTAATGTCCCACTCAATGTGAGATGGAGGAACTTGGTCCGTAGGACTACTCGTGCTCCCAAAGTAACACGCCCTTCGATAGTCTGCTACCCGACTCGTGTGGCCTGAGGGCTTGTGTTTTTGACGGAGTGTAACATCTTGGAGTTTCCATACAGGTTCTTCATCGGACTGGGATACGCTACATTTAGGGCTCTCTTTTCCATCGTCTTGGTTTCTGTGATTGGTCGTATAGCGTTCCAGCTCACGCTCCATTTCCTCCCTCTCCTTGGCCAGTTGTAAGCACTTTTTGATGCTATCACTCTCCAGTTCGCTGTCAAGTTGTGTGAGAAGTGTGCTGTCATCAGTAAGGTGACTGGCCATAGGCTGATAGTCTGAGGACGGTGGTCTGTCTGCCTCTCTATCCAAAATATAGGTTCTCCTTGACAAAATGGGGAAAAGGTCTTCAGTGCGGGCTGGCATGCGGTGCCTTTTCATAGAATCACTGGGTTTTTTCTCACTGTTGTCTGAATAGAAGCTTGCTCTTTCCAGGAGGTTCTCTGAGCCATGTTCATCATCAGAGTAAAAGCAGCCATGACGGGAGAAGTTCCGAGCGATGGCCCGTACTCTTCCAGGGGAGGACGTAGGCCTGCTAAGCTCCAGCACATCCACAGTAAGTGGCGAATTCTTCTTCTCGTCCTTGTCGGAACTCAGGATACTTGATTTTGGGGAGTCCCTAAAGGATGTCCGGTTGCTTCCTGAGCCACTTGCACCGCCGTTACTTTGCAATATGTCCTTGAGATTTTTCTTATTGGAGGGACTGGAACTCTCTATTAGAGGTTGGATTATGAAACGTCCATCTGGGCCTCTGTGAATAGACTCTAAAGATGTTGGGGAGGGAGCCTGGGACCCCAGGTGGCTCTCAAAGAGTGTGTAATGCGGTGGTGGAGATGAGTTGGCCAAAAGTTGCTTGCGCTGGTCTTGGTACTCTCCTCGACTGCCTTTATCGAAAGAGGAGCGGCCGTATTGTGAGGAGGACGTGGGGAAGAAGGGAATGGATGGACACAGCTTCAGTTTCAACACACTGTCTGGGCTGCGGGGAGGAGAGCAAGCTCTGAGGGGGGAAAAAAAGGACATGAGCAAAGAATAGAAAGTGATGATGACAATTACAGAAATGTAATAGGTACAAACAGTGCAGGAGACAAGAGTAAAACTTGAACTGCAGGATTTGGAACATTATAATTTATTTGCAGTTGTCTTTTTCAGCTCCATATTTAATATTCTATCGATACATTAAATCAATTGGGACACTTACTCTGAAGATGGACTCTTCTGGAAAGCGGATGGGACATCTAAGAGAAGAACAACATGATACAAAATGTGTTCCACTAAAGACAATGAATCATGATTTTAATTCTATTCATCAATCATGTCTTACCTTGTTGCCTCTTCCTGCGCCGACGCTCTCTCCAGTTTCTCATATAGCAAGCTGTTACTAATGAGAGCACAATGGCCATAAAAAGGAAGCACACCCCTCCGAGCACACCTGCCAGGAGTGGCGCGGGGACAAGCTCCAAGAAACTAGGGCTCAGGGGGTAAATCTCCATCCCTGTAGTCCAATCAGACAGACTGCAATTAGTCAAGTCATCATTCATACTTTTCAACATGTAAACTTCAACTTTTGTAATTTACCTGCAGTAGATATACTGACAAAATCACTTGGTTCACTGCGCACTTGATTGCTGCGGGATATTAGCCTCAGATCATAACTGGAATCCTGAGCAACAGGAAGATTTGATTAACTCATCAACACCATTTACTATTTAAAAGAAAATCGAATCAAATTTTAAAATAACTGTAATATTGAGACATGAGAACCAGAAGCATCTGTGCACAAAACATTGTATGATCACAAGAGCCAGCAAATAGGAAGAAATCTGCCTTACGCGAAGCAGTCCCTGTACAAGGACTTCACTCTCATTGGCACTGATGTCGTTGCTAAGGATGACCCACTGGCCCTGATTCCGACGAGCCTGAAGCACATAACTTGACAGCGGAGAGGATGGAATGTCAGGGGGTGACCACTGGAGAAGAACACCTTGTCTGGTCCGGTTAGCAGACAAGATTACGGGCGGTTCGAGTGTTAGCAGAGTGGTGATGACAGTTGGGGCTTCTGTTGGTACGGCTTGAAGGAGAAAAACAGTTTTAGTTGCATGCCAGTACGAAAGTAGCTAGAAATGCCAAAACTCCAAAACTAATCACAAACCTTGGGTTCTTACAGTCACAATTTCACTGAAAGGTCCAGAGCCCAGTTTATTCTGAGGTAGGACACTGAACTGATAACTAGTCGCAGCCAGAAGACTAGTGACCAACAAGTACTTTTTGGATGTGGGCACAGGTAAAGATGCCCATTCATGTTTACCTCTGGATGCTTGTTTGACCCTGACAAAAAAAAAGAGAGTAATCTTAGCTTTTGTGTTTGCATCTGAAAAGATGACACCATCCATGTTATATGCTATTTACCACACAGTGAACTTCTGGGTGTATCCCCCATCAAACCCAGGCACCCAGGACACATTCGCTTGATTTATCTCAGTGTTTACAGACACTGAAGACACAGCATGAGGACTGGTACCTGAGCAAAAGACAGAAGCAGTTTTATAAGTGCAACATATGTGAAAAGACGGGCAAATATATGCAGATTAACTTCCCATTGCATCTGTGTCAAATATCTATATATTTTTTTCTTTTTTTCTGACATGGAGCCACTTACCCAGCACCATTACCACAGTGCCTGCGCTGACAGTTGCTACACGATTAGAGGCCAAGCATTCCCAGCCCCCGTGGTGGTCTTTACTGAGAGGTTGCAGCAGGAGGGAACCATTAGCCAACACAAAGTACTGAGAACGAGGACTAGGACCAATCTGCTAGGGAAGACAGAAACAATAAAAAACAAAGCATGACAAACATACTTATATAAATCCTTTATGTTCATGAGCAAAACATCTTCACCTTGCTCCATGTTATGTTTGGCGCGGGATCTCCATCGGCTTCACAAGGGATGATCAACTCTCTGCCCACCTCCTGAAGATACTCAGGCCGAGGAGGGACTTGGAATGTGGGTGGATCCTGGAACAAAGAGATAGCCTTTGTCACATTGGGCTAGGTGCGAGAAAAAAAGACCTCTGCAACAAAACACAGTGGGAGCAGCCTTGCATACCTGCACAATGACGTTGGTGGGCTCAGACTGACCCATGGTGCCGTAGCTGTTATACGCAGTGCAGCTGTACATGCCCACGGCATTGTCGTTTGCCGTTGCTATGAAAACTGAGCCCTCAGAGTTCACCATCCAGCCCGGGAACTACATTAGATAGGTTAAAGATGTAAAATAAGATATGTCTGCTTCTGATTTGAACAGTAAGAGTGCGTGTTCCAAAGAGAAACAGGAATGTAACATTTCACAACTTACATTGTCAAGATTTAAATTGTTCCCATCTTTGGTCCAGTTCACATATAAGACAGGAGGATCCGCCTGGACAGGACACACAATGACCCCCTCCATGCCGGAGGGCAAGTAGGTTTCCCTGGGCATTCGCACAACTCGAGCAGGGTCTACAGTGGAGGGGGGGAATTTGCAACAAAAAGAATCATACGCAGTACTCCATGAGGGTTTGCTTTTCAAGCAGATTAAATTTCTTACGTTTCACTTTGAGATGTGCTGAGGCTGAGGGCGGAGTCAATATCCCATTTGTAGGGATACAGGTATAGTTTCCAGCATCTTCTGGAATTAAATTAGGGATTAAAAGGGTTCCGTCCACCAAAACCTTCACTCTGGATTTTAAAGATCTAAAACAAAACAAAAAATATTTATTAATACATTTTTGTTATCAGAAATAACACAATTTCTATGAAATCTGTAGTCGTGTTATCAATTCTTTTTATCATCTGGTACGACAGTGATCTTATGTATGTATATCTTGTCTGTGAAATCCGATGAGGGTATTGTGTTGGTGAACTTCATTTTGTATTTGGCAAGACAAAGTATGTTGTCATAAATGAGACTCACTCAATATGGTAAACATTCTGTCCTTGTTTCATCCACTCGTACGTGAGGTTGGAAGGGTAAGCGTCAGCCTGGCACTGCAAAACGGCATCCTGGGACATATTGAGAGTGGTGTCCTCTGGCGAGATGATGATGATTGGGGGACCTTCATTGGCAAAGTCAAAGAAAGTTTGACCCAACATACACAGTAAATGTTGAGAGTGCTGTGCACAGATTGAGATGTTGATCATTTATGCAGTAACAAGAGGTGGACAGAAGGTGGCACTATGGTTTGATTGATTTGATTTTTCTGTTCGCGTTCCGGTGTTGTACTTTCAAATGCTATAATCCTTGTTTTGCCAGCACACTTTAGCACGTGTTCTAACGATTATCGTTGCAGTGGTTAAGAGATGAGAACAACTGTGTTACTTTTCATTCCAACACTGACCTTTGACCTGAAGCTGCGTCTCATGTGTCAGGTTGCCCTCTGAATTGGAAACATGACATTTATATACTCCAGAAATGCTTCTTGTGGCTGAGGTCAAAGACAAGGTACCATTGTGTACCTGAAATTTGGCCAATGGCAATAAAAAAATGTTCACGGATAGAAGGGAGGGAGGGAGAAAAGTTGGGAGACAAAACGGTCATTGAGTGGTAGATAAGGCAATTTGATGCAGTGGAATTGAAAGATTACAACTTTGATATAAGTTTTCGTTGAAAGATATGAATGCAAATGAGTCATCTTCCTCACTTTGATTTTTTCATGTTTCTCAATCGGGCTCTCATCTTTGTGCCACACAACAGTTGGGCGAGGGTTGCCATGAGCTCCGCAGCTGAGCGTCAGCGAGTCTCCGAGCAAAACCTCCACAAAAGTTGGAGGCATCTTGATAAACACCGGTGGAGCTGAAACAAACAGAGTGCAGTTAAAACACCAATCTGTTTTTGTTTTCAGACAGGGTTATGATTCTGTAAAGAAGTGCAGCTTTGGTTGGAAGCTGCTTTGGTAGGAAAAACATACCAAATGGTCTCTATTACCTATTGAGTCATTTGGATAAATGCAACAGAATCCAAACACAAGATTCATTCCGTTTTGGGATTACCTCACCAATTATTTTGTGGAATGTATTCCCGTGAAATACAATATGTGCAACGATGCACTACCATCGAATGAATGAATCGTGTCCTGTGGTTATTTGCAACCCGATGCACCGCATGTAGGCCTTTCATTGAGTGAAGGACAATAAAATGAAATGTACTTTTCGCACTCAACTTCTCTTCCTATGTGGCACGATTGTGGCACTGATAGCGTAGTTGATATATGTGACAAGTACTTTCATCTGTCACATTTCAGCAATTAAGGAAAATCTTAAGGACACAAAATGCAGCAAATTGTCATTTCTTAAACGCAGCGGGGAAGACACATTTAAAGACCAGTCATCATGTACAAAGAATGTCAGGCAGCATCAGAGTGATTTCGGTTTGCCTGTGCCTTTTAGCCACATGCTGCCTCTGATGGCAACAATCGAAGTGCCAGTAATGAGCCTGCAAATGAGCATCTCTTGTTTGTCCGCAAGCCTGCAGTGCTGCACCTGTGATGGAGAGGAAGGTCCACGTGCCGTTTTGGAAGTCGTCCGTTTTGCTGTCCAGGAGCAGGATGCGACACTCGAACCAGCCCTCATCCTCAAGGGTCAGCCGTTCCACCAGCAGGGAGGCGCCACGGGTCAGGGAGACCCGCCCTGTGGGAGGAGGGGTGAGGGACGGAGAGATGAGGGGGTCAGTGCACTCAGGCAGCCAGACCACCGCAGTCAGCACAAGCAGGAGAGGAGCGAGTTTACGGTGTCGATGACACAGAGATCGTGACACAAAGGTCTCAGCCAGTCATAAACTCGATGTTCACCAAAAAAAAAAGAAAGCCGTGCCAGTGATATTTGTAGGAAATAATTATTTTCGACATCAGGAGAGGTAGTAAATAGGGTTGAACATTTTGAGGATGAGGAGCTGCACAAATTAAAGTGCATTAATAAATTATGCAATGACTGTAATAATTGAAATGATAAAATGACAATATCTTTGAGTGGTTCAAAATCACAGATGCACCCATGCTTGCCTACACATTCTCACACACATTTCATCTATGGCTGTCGTAACTCCCAGAATCCACTCCCCCCCCCACCCCCCTCCTCTGTACGTTTTCCCTCCCTTTTAGACTTTGAAACTTGATCTGTTGGTTGCCTGGTGACTGCAGCCTGAAGTTACCCCCTCCTCACTTTCTTTCCTTTTATTTCGTCTCTCAATGAACTCTTTTTTACCCCCCTTCAATCTCAGCCCATTTAACGACAGCAGTGTGTGCAAGGAGGAGGAAACACACACATCGTTCATACCAGGCTGTGGCTAAAGCAGTTTGAAAGTAAACAAGAGTCAATATTGGGACGTTCCCAGCATCACGTCATTCTTGTTTGGTTGTCTAATTTAGGCTAATAGCAAATTCGGTTTACTGTATTCCTTTTTTATTCTTTTTTGCAAGATACTCAAACTCCATTTTCAATTCTTTTATTCAATCGACACCTCACCACACAGCGCCTCACATTAAATCTCGAAGCAGGGATAACACAGGCAGACAGTGAATACAAGAAGAAATAATGACAGAATGCTCGACAACCTTGAAGCAAGTATCGCACCGGGGAAAATAATATCTTGACTATTGACTTTCCTTTCCAAAGCCTGGTCTCGAAAAGAGCCTGGAAGCTATGAAATTCATTTAACTTTCGACATGGCATCCAGACAGGGTGAAACACATGCTGTGAGTAGAAGAGAGACAACAATGGCTTATAATTAACCCCGCATTCCTGACTGGGGCTGTTGCTGTGCTTAATGGTTACGTTTAATGATTGACTCAACTCTGTCAAGCCCCGGCAATGATAGGCAATACTCTCATCTGAGATGCTCCATCAAATAAATGCCTTAAATCGCAGGTCATGGAGGGAAGGAGGTGAGGGGATAACCTCAGGCATTTTCCTCCTTAAACTGTTCATTTCCCTTGCAACCCCTTTGACTTGGATATGCAATTTGTACTCTTAGAGGAAACATTTTCACAGGAAAAAAAAAATCACAAAAACAAAAGACAAACCATCCTCCTGTGGCTAACAGCTCTTGAATGTGCGTTAAAAAAAAAAAAGAGTGCCGATCTCATGGCTTTTGCGTCACGTGGTCAAGTGTTGATTTTCAAAATTTGATGCTCGCACAGGTTCACCACTGGGACTGCAGCTCCTCTTTTGGACGTTTAACCCTTCCCCGCTGCCTCACTCTCGTCCATCACTACAAAGGGACGACAGCCCCCCACTCTGCATTCTCGCCTGTTACCATAGTGACGAAACCAAGGAAAACCCGGACAGTAGGTTTAGATTTGAATTCAGTTGCTGAAGAAACATAGCGTGCGGATAGAGGGGTGTTGATTGCGCAGGGGGGCAAATTAGGAAAATGACACAAAGAGAAACTACGTTTAGGTTGAAAATCTAAAAGTGCTGCATCGGGCAGCACTTCAAGGCATGTAAGAAGAAAGAGAAAAAGGAAAGGAATCTGTTTTCTATTCAGCCTTGAGAGAAATAAAACACTGACGCTGAATGATAAATGTTGTTTTTCAAGGCTTAGTCTCCGAACTTGAACTCAAACTGGCATTTGGCAGGTGCTGTGCTTTGAGGCCGCATTACTTATGGGCTGATGCCCGCACATAAGGAAATACTTAAACACAAGCACTAAAAATCATCAATCATACAACAACCAAGGAAGTGAATGAGAGGTTATGGAGAGGTTACTCAAATTGTGAGCATCCATAATCCACTGGCAACCAATAAGAAGCGAACCCCTTTGACCTCTACGCTCCGTAACTCGCCCACAGACACATTCATCACTCCCTTTGCTTCAAGGAACAAACATCATTTGACCATTTGGCGGACAACAGAGAGAATGGCCGACACAATAGCTGCGTCTACCCCGAGGGCTCCCGCATTCTCGTGCTCCTCTGCTTCCGGATCGTTTTCCTCCAGTAGCTATCACATGACAGGTCGACTCTTCCTTAAAACAAACCCTTGTTCCAACAGGTCAGTGCATCCAAGTGGAGGATGTGGAAGTACCTGTTCACTGGTGCTGTATGAACATCTACTACGTAACTCGACTCAAACTCTCACAGCGTAGTCTGCAGGTGGGAGAAGACGTTGCATAACTGAGCGATGAATTCCTCAGTGCATCCTATTGTACAGTATTTGTGAATTCACCAAACGTGTGCACTACATTCACTTGTCACTGTTGGGTGAAGCAAAAGCACAATGCTTCGAGTGGTCCACCTGCCCCCCCCAAAAAAGTAAACTGGTCTCAGCCATTACCACACAAACTCGTTGACGTCCATGTGAATCCATGAGATAATTACATGAGATACACTATGGTAACAGAGGAAGAACGATTATTCAGTTTGAAATAGCATCAGCGCTGCTTTTCTTTGTCCATCCGTATGTGTGGAAGAGAGCGGGGGCAGAGGTGCATTGTGGGATATGTTTTGAGTTGAATACAATCATAAGTCTGGGACCTGGCCCCATGCTTCTGACACCGCCCGCCGCCGCCCCCTCGCGTTCCCCCAAATTTCCCTCTTCAATCCTCCTGTCCCCCTAATCAGTTTAAGCCTCTTATGAATAGCTCTTTGTCGTGATATAGATTACAGTTAACTCTGCCGCTCTCACTCTGTCCAGCGCTGTTAACCCCTGCGCCATTAAGCACACTCGACTCACGTGCCAAGCTTCACCACAAGCACTGACACTCTGACATCATCACAGAATATTTATGATCCTTACATTAGAACTTCCATGACTTTGATCTATGCTCATCATCCGGAATGTGATCAGCGAGCAACAAAAAGCCTGGAGTAACTTGGCAAGTGCTCCGAGCCAAAGAACACAACATACTTGCCAAACATCATATTGGAATAGTTGTAGCAGGAAAAACAGGTTGTTGCTGGATAATGAGGCTCAATTTCACATGTTTACTGGTGTGGTTCTGATTTCACTTCTTTCAGATCCTCAATTCTTCAATTGTGATTTTCACCTAAAGCAACAGACTATTTAGTACTACTGCACATTCAGCGAAACTCACCTGTCCTAAAGGACTTGGATTATTAGTATCCAACAGCTATGCATTTATGAAGCTAAACTCTGTAGCTAAAAGGGGAAAAAAAAATATTATCACGGGTAAAATAAAATGGGTGGTGTTCAATTACACGTTGATCCCGTGTCCCCTCCAAATAACCGCCACTTGACTTTCTTTTAACTCATACGTATACAGTTCATAAATAATGTACACTGCCTTTCATAGTAAAATCCAGAATTGGTAACTTGTATTGTTTTTATTCATCTTTCACTCACTGTTTAGTTCAATCTGGGGAAAAATGTCAGTTTTAGATTACGGGTCTATTATGGATAGATCAGCCTTCTCCCTCCAGAGCAGCTTCTTATAAAACTGGACATAATCTACGATAGTCGCAGTTTGGTATTCGCAGATTCACCTAGTAGCTGATTTTTTGGGGATCCTATCCTCCGTTATTTGCTGAAAAACACATATTTGCTGTTTTGGAGCTCAGGCCAAAGCAAAATAGAAGTATTTGGTGCCATCTTCTGGCATCTCAGTATCAGAGAACTATGTTGAAATAATTTCAAGAGCTTCATTTTGACAAAAGTAATGCTTTGCTACTATGCTGTGGTATTTTGCTAGCTAAGAATTATGTTCAAGTGTGTTGAGAACTTTCATTTAGAAAAAAGTACCGGTTGTGCTTTTTGTCACCTTGTGGCAATTATCCACATTTATAAACCTTTTGAGAGTGAAGGGGATTATTATTCGTGGATTTTCACACTGTATAACTAACTCTCATTATTCCAACAGCAAGGTAAAGGACTGTACCTTACTATGAATAGCAAAAATTGACAAATAAATATCCCCCCCGCCCACAACCCTCTCAAAAGAGGTTGATAATTCCCTATAAATGTCACAATTTGGCGACAAAGCACTTCAAAAGAGAGGATTATAAAAGTGCACACACAGGTATTCACTTTGGATTGATTTTATTTACTGTGGTCTGAAACATCACAGACAAAGAATAACGAGCAAAAAGAAGCAAAAACCTACTTTCAGATACTTTTGACTTTTCAAAAGGTGCATTCAAAGACTGGCAACAATACAGGACGAACACAGCAACCGATAAATTCAGCCGAACAACAACAAGGCCAGGTTTCCATGAGATAGTATCAAATATTGTTATTGCTTTTGCCTGAGCACACAAACAGCGAATAGGCAAGCCCTTCAGCGTGACATGCAGATGCTTGCTCGAGATTTTGCTTACCGGTACTCTTTTTGTTTTCCCCTATTGGGTTTCTTGTTTTGATCTCTGAGATGAACATAAATCATTTAGGTCACTGACGCTGTACTGATATATAATAACGGTGCAAATGCAAGTGTGAATGATCTCCATGGCCTTTGGTTTTGTCTGCCTTTCACCCAAAGTCATCTTGGACAGGCTTCAGGGTGCAACAACCCTCAAGGAAAAAGTGGGATAGAAAATGGATGGGTGCATCGTAAGCTGCTGCCATATTTCAAAATATTTCTGACATCTTCGGTACTCTCAGGGTGCCCAACCAACAACACATGCCTGTGAGCAGCTCAAACCAATGAGCAACACGATGTCTCGCTCAATTTTCCATGGATTACAAACACAATCCCTTTCAGAACATCTGGAATCTAAAATTCACCAGGTTGAAGTGGACGCAGAAGTGAACGCAATGTGTCCATATGACACTGCATTACCATGGCAAAACAGCAGACAAAAGGATGGCAACGCACGGCCAACTGAATCAATCTTAAAGAACAACAATGTGGACACATTTCAAATGAACAAGATGAAAACTTTCAGCAAGCAAGCTAAATAAATGATGATCCTGGCTCCACTTGAAGCTGCTGCGCTAAAGCTGTGATTCCCAACCAGGGTGCCGTGGCACATTAGTGTGCCGTGAGAGACCATCGAGAGTGCCGTAGAAAATAATTCAGTTCCACTTAACTTGCCCAGAAATTATTATTCACAAGTATATCGTTGTTGCATCTATGCCAGCGATATAGTGACAGGCAGATTAATTAAAAATGCTTTTCCATTAGATGGCAGAAGGTACAATAAACCTGAGTATCCACTAGTCACAGAAAAAAATACTCACTAAGCTTCCAATGAGTACTGTACTGTGTAGGCCTGTCTGTTTTTCGTTTAACTAAAAAGGCCCAAATTTTACACTGAGGACCATTTGGGACACAATTGAGACCAGATCATCATTATTTCAGTATTTTTAACTTTGTGGGACATCTTTGCATGGTGGTGTGTCGTGAGATTTTAAAATGGGTGCCTTGGTTCAATAGGGTTTGGAAAACACTGTGCAAGAGTACTGTTTGCTCTTAGCTGTGCGAAGTGCTGCGCCCTTTCCCAGCTTTAATTGTTTGACCCACATCTAGTTCCTGATAGCTTAAGTGTGGATTTAAAACTTGTATTGTCACTCTTAGTGGACAGTTCACGATTAATACAGTGAAGATTTGGTTCATTATCTTATTAAAATGATGTCCGAAACCTTTGCATGGATTTGATCATTTGATTTCTCTTTTTTGGGAGTATTGGAATTTCATTGCTTTTTGATGTCCACACTGAAAATACTGATGGTGTGCAAGTGTGAGTGTGTGTGTGTGTGTGTGTGTGTGTGTGTGTGTGTGTGTGTGTGTGTGTGTGTGTACGTGTGTATGTGTGAGTCTGCATGCAAAAATGCCAGAACCCCTCCCATGCTTGAAGGACCCACAGCGAGTATAATGAAGGCCTACAGAGACTTGGGGGTTTGCCCATTGTTGCCCTGGCCTCAGGTCGAACTCTCTTGCTCACCGTCTCTGATGATTTTCCTCAACACACGGGAGCCATTTAATCTCGCCCTGCAACAGTAAACCTACATGACACCAACAGACCCCCCCACCCCCTGCTTTTTTTTCTCCAAGAAATTCAGCTCAGACAGACTATAATAGCATGTCAGGACAGCGTTGCCCTCACTGTTTCCTCTGTTATGTGTTCACTAATGTTCAGCCCTGCAGGGCATGACTGGGTGTGAAACGTGAGAGGGCTGAGGGATACTAATACCTTTCGGATTCACTTCAAGCAGACAACTAAGACTAATGTCTTAAAAGAGTCAAAGGAAGGATGCCATTCTGAAGTCTCATCAAATACCTGATATTATATATTTTTAAAAACTAATAATAATTGAATGGCCTAAAATCATTGCCTTCGATTTTGCTGGCTTCTTAATGTTACTTTGAGACAGCGCGGCATGAGACTCAAACAAAGCAACAGATACTGTATGTAGCCGTTTTAAACGCTTGCATATCTTTATTCACCTGCATTGAGTTTACCAAAGGTGGCCCACAACATTCTATGCAGTCTAGTCTGGCGCCATAGCACTACTATTAACTGCCCAGATAGCACTTTGTGTGTGACTCCACCTCTGAACTGCAGAGAGATCCTCAGTTTATGATTATATTTCGGGAGTTTATAATTGAAACGATTAGTAAGATGCTGGTTTAAGTTTCTGATCTCAGACGAGCAGGGAAAATGTTCTGGAAACCGTCCTCAAGCCAACAGTCATAAAACCCACGGCACTGTAATTTGAGGGTAAGATACATTAGAGCAGCAACGCTGACACGCTTCACATGCTGCCATCTGCTTCCAGTGGGAGGGCAGGCATAAGGATCTGACGCAGATGGGGGTAAAGCTCAACGCAGATAACAACACAAACGGGATGGCTGTGCCAAAAGACCGGGATATCCCAAACAGCGCCCGAGAATGTTATTTTGTCTGTTTGGGCTGCAACAATATCAGATGAGTGCCCCAAAACAATAGAACGGTGAATGGCCTAACATGCATAACACATGTAGCCCAATTGCTCAGTTGAAGCAGCCGGTTTGAAGCTGACCCTACGAATAATCAATGCGGGAAGAATAAATTCCACCAAGGTGCATGTTACAATACCCCAGGGGCTTTTATTCGTGGCTGAAGTTGTGTTTCCCAGATGTATGCGGTACACATGTAGGTGAGCATCCCAGCACATTTTCATGACATATTTGGGACAGTATGGGATTTTGGGTGTCCTAGTGGTCCTTGAGGTTTTTGCAACGCAAAGGGAGGTAGTGATACCCCTTCTCAGTCTTTTGTTCAGGGGTAGACAATGACGGGATTATAGCGCTCCAGCAAGAAAACTCCCATTATTTGCCATGCTTCATCCTTCCTGCTCCACTCACAATCTCTTACTGGGTCACCCCTCTGCATACTAATAAAAACACTGTCACTGGACCACCGAGCCCCCACCTGCACTTAATCCCACCATGCGCATTGCTTTTTATACCCTCCCCCTTAGTCCTTGCATAGCCCGCCCCACCCCCTAGCTGCCTCCATTTGAACGTAAGCATGCTCCCCCCCTTTTCCCACTGCTTCTGCTATTATGGCAGACAGCAAATCCGAAGACCTGCTGTAGTTCTAAATGTGCTTGCATGTCTGGAAAATAAAACTCAAACGATTGATGTAAATTCTCAAGGCTAATGTCAAATGGTTGAAAGTTACTTGTCAGGGCTAACATTTACTGCAATGAAAGTAAAACATTCTTTGTTTGCTGAATGAGAATATGACTTAACAGTAAATAAATGGCTCTTACCCTTGTACGTGGGATGAACCCGAGGAGCATACACTCCAAATTTGATGAGGACGGGAACGTTGTAACCGAGCCGCACCCACTCCACCACATGTAAAGGGAAGAGGTTTGGACTGGTGGCGTCGTGAGATTTTGGAGTGAGACTGCAGCCCAGCTCAGCAGAGCCCCCCTCTCTGCCACGGACAACTGATGGCAAACCTTGAGACGCACCTGCAAGGACAAGAACATATGACCAAGATAAAGCAAATGGGTTCATTCTGGACTGAGAAGAAAAAAAAAGGCACGCACAATATCTGTGAGCGGCTTTAAAAGCATTGCTGTGTTTGGAATCACTCCCTATCCACGACATAGTTCCATTTAGTGAGTTCAGGTTTTGTGGTGTTGCTCGAGTGTGTAATGAGTAGAGTGCCCTTAAAAGTAATGAAATAGGATGCTCATTCGTAAAAACAATATACCCCAGGATTAATTGTGCCAAACAGAAAAATGGTTTTCCATTCCCAGGTATTGTTTGATTCTCAAAAGAAAATCCTTGAGTCGTTGTTGCAAAATTGTAAAGAAACACATCACAACATAGATGGGCACTAAATGTTTTGTTTGTATCAATTTTCTAAATCACACGCATCTTTTAACTACGGAATGGTATCATAATACATTTATTTGCTCCACAATATTTATAAGGGAAGGCGTACTAGCTGATGTTGATCAATATGGTGTGTATCACAGCAATGGCGTAATTAACAGCACGTGCAAATAGTGTTTGGGAACTATTTTTTTATTTGACTGATGAATGAACTGCCAAGGCCACTCTATAAAAATATCTATTTAATGATTAGGAAGTCGGGAATGAATGAACGATTCCAAAGACCACCTTTGAGCCTTTTAAAGAGAGCAATGGCTGCCAGACCTGAGGGTGAAGTGCTTGCGATTGTGGTAATACAGTCTTAAAACGTACTTCGGAGTGAGAGAAAGAAAGTTAGCCAGAAGGAGAGGTCGAAACCGAAAGGTTGAAGCTACGCTTTGAAGTGGATCTTGGGTGAGCACTTGCCCCCAGAGCACTCCCTGTGAACAGCCGGGGGCATGTAGAGCACGGATGTAAAACCAACCGTGTGCCATTTGGTGACAAGATCTTACGGTGGCAAAGGCTGCAAACACACTGCAATCCCATTAGTGACACCTGGAGTAGCCTCTCCTCTCCATCTCGGAGAACTCCCTCGCTGCCATGTGCTCACGTGGGCGTGTGCGCTACTGGGTGCCAGTGTTTGCTCTACTGCTCATCTGGCCGGGTCATTACTTTAATCCCACAGGGGGGTGGGGTGGGAGGGGGTTGGGGGACTGATACTCTGATCGAGGGCAGCAGGCCTCTCTGTGTTCTCTCCAGCCGACCTCCCGCCACCCACTGGGGTACACACACGGTTAGAGGACCAGCACAATCAATCCCCCCGACCCCCCCTTACACACACCCGCACTAAAAGAAGCGTGCCCGCGGGTTGAGAGCAGCATAAATCCCAGATTGATCTAATTCCACACCCAGAGATGTTATTTAAGTTGCATTTTGGCCCCAATTCTCTGTCATTTAAGTGAATAGCTCTGCTATAACCCGTCCTCTTACCAGAGGGAGCTGTGCCAGTGTGCTCATCATCCCACCGCCTATACTGAGTGCGGATTGTTTAACAGCAACATGTGCCAACTGCGAAACGATGCTTTGACGGGGCAAGCAATTTGACAAAGCGATGAAGCCAAGTGCACCAACAGAGCCAGAGAGGGCTTTGTTTTGTCACTGAACGCACATATAAATGATAAATTCATCATCTTCGATCAGGAAAACTTCCAGTTGAAATGATGCTCTTCTTCTTATTTTCAAGTGTGCTTAAAAAAAGACTTAATGGGTTTCACCGATAATCTAATGTAATACGCTTAGTTCCTGATTTACAATGTAGTCGATTATGGTACGATGTATTACTTGGGTTTCTGTCGTCATTGTAGGCTAGATGGCACTAACAGACATTTTGCAGATGACACTTCCAGCTGTTTGAATGACTGATCTCATGAATCCTTGTCAAATAGAAATGAACATTGCAAAATACGTGCAACTATTTGCGTCTTAGAGTAAAATTCATATAGTTTTATTATACTCACTTAGCAGAAAGATGGCTGCAACGGTGGGGATCACCTGAAGCCACCGTCTCTCCAGTCCCATGGCCGTCCGTCACACTGCTTCACACATCTTCTGACCTAAGAAACAGGACACCCCATTCACAATCATTTTCAAATAATAAAAACAAAGTAATCCTTCAAATGAACATCTCGTCATCAGTTGCAAGGACTGCTGATACAAAAATTGTACGTCTGGGTTGGGGTTGGATGAAGGAAAATGCATTTCCAGTCACTCCTACCAACGTTTCCAGTCAGTCGTACAGATCGCGTTGATTAAAAACAAAAATATTCTTGTCTTTGACTATAAAAAGCGTGCATGCGACCATAGCAACATTGCACAGCTTTTTTTCCATGCCAAAGTGGACGTCACAAACAAGGATTCACGTACTTAACATTCAACGAAAAACAAGAGCAGTTACATCTACTCAAGGGCCTCAACGTCCTCTCTGGCCACTTCAATCAGTTATCATAATACCTTCCAACAGCATGACAGTATTTTAAAATGAGAAACTTTCTTCTTTGAAATTAGTTAAACTTTAACTAATATTGGCATTCAGCACAGCCAATTTTGAACACTTTAACTGTTAAAGTGTTCAAAATTGGCTGTACTGAATGCCAATATTGAATTTCAATAATTCGCCTGAAACTGGACAGCTGACACAGATGCAGTTGACTGAAATGTGAGAATGACTGCCGAGTCCAGGAGTAGAAAAAAAGAAACTCCATGAATTGTGTTGGAGATGATTGTTTTCACTTCTAAAAACTTTTAATACCATCATAAAACTACATAGTGAGCCAGTACAGGTCATGTTTTGGGAACATGCAGGCAGGTAGGCCCTGCAGCCAGTGTTTGCAGGTGCAAAAGTAAGAAGAGACAATTTTGCTATTCCCTCAGGCATCAGGGCAAGAGGCGTTTGAAAGGATACCATTACGAAAGTGCAAACGGTTTCATATTTTTTTTTCTAATTCAAACTGACAAATGCATTTATAGACCTCTCGGTGCCACAAACAGCCCGAAACCCAACGTAAGTACTTCCCAAAGAACGAACATAATCCAAACAGCTAATACACCGGCAACACGTGCTAACAGTGCTCCCATGTTTCACTGGATTTCACTGACACAAATTGCTTTGGATCTAGTCATGACTTAGCCTTCTGGATGGTACATTTGTGGCACCTCCAGCACTGTAATCCTACCCTGCGGCTCTTAGTGTTAATAGTCTAATCGAATTAGAGATGAAATGGTGAGCCCAATCAAGGACGCTGAATTCAGTCACAAAAGACTTGTTTTGGCAGAATTATATGAATGTGATTTAATTGATATATTGCGAGCAACCCCGGGTGGAAATTTCTCACGCCGAATGTCACTTTATCATGGCTATCTACTGTCCACAGCAAGTATTTTCCAAACTTTATTCATGTCACAACACACTATCGAACAAAAATGTCACAAAAATTATGAATACTGACATAATACTGATCTCGTCTTAATTTACTGATAAACTGACAAACTCAATGGGAATCCTTAGACTGCTTAATTGAACACAGGACTGAAGTCATAAATTATTCTGTTGAATAAATGGCAACTGGCTTAGTTTACCTTCTGCCATCTAATGGAAGAGCAATTACCTGTTCTGCCTGTCACTATACATCACTGACATGGATAGATGAACACAGATATCTTTGTGATTAAGAAATAATCATTTTCCCAGGGCACCCCTTGCTGATCTCTCACGGACCACTGGTGTGCCATGGCACCCTGGCTGGAAATCAGTGCACCGGAGGAGTATGAACAATTCAACTCAACTGTATTTATAGAACACTTTAAAACAACCACCGCTGTATACAAAGTGCTGTACATGAACCAACAATCCTGTCCAAAAAAAAAAGTAAAATGTACCACAAATTAATTAATTCATAACAATGACTTCAAATAAAGTAATGCACTCTATGACAATGATTTTTGTACACATAACAGCTGAAGGACTTTGCCTCTCCATATGCATCCCCCCTATAACACGTGAATAAACTCATTAACTGAATAATGCAAACGGTTAAATACAACCTTGCAATGGGTTACTGCTCCCGAGTTATCAAAACTGTCCACGGCCTCTCAACCTGTCTATCTACATTATGCATGCATGTGTGCGTGTGTTTGTGTGCTTGTGTTTGTGTGTGTGTGTTTGTGTGTGTTTGTGTGTGTGTGTGTGTGTGTGTGTGTGTGTGTGTGTGCGTGTGGGCGCGTGTGTGTGCGCGCGCGCGTGCATGTGTAGGGCAGGCCCATGATTGATGTTAGTGACAGTAACAGGCACGATAAGAAGTAGCAATACTCTGTTAATCCTTGTTAATCCTGACAGAGATGCCAGTTTTAATAAAGCAGCCTTAGTGGGGAAATGCAAGTGTCATTTCAGTAAACACTCTCACAATTGCACAAAAGAATGCCACACAGATGCAACCTAAGATAAATATCACAGCAACTTCTCCTCCATTTATAACATAGTCGTTAACGTGGGTGTGTTTGAATAAAAGTAGTGAAAGTATTCTGTTGTGTCATATGTCTTTTTGGGTGTATGGGCGTCTCAATAGCACTCAAAATTATTAGTCCATCTATTTTCACTCATCCTGTTCAGGGTGATGGGGAGCTGGAGTTTATCCAAGCTGACTTTGTGCTAAAGGCGGGCGAGAGACAGAAAGGCGTTCACTTGGCTCATCACTGAGTGGGAATTGAACCAGAGCTGCCAGAGCGGAAGTCAGGCGAGTAAACCACGACAACAGGAGTCACCAACGTGATGCCTGCAGGCGCCTCATGAGAGGCCCGCACACCTGTTCTTAAAATAAATAAATACATAAAAAATTTAATAAAACTCACAGTGATGGGGCATTGTGATTTCCTAGTACAGCTGTAGAAATGATCATTTGAAAATGTAAACACAGATTTCGATAAACAGTGCTTTATATTGACATTTATCCGTTTCCTGTGTTATTAAATCATTAACATGATTGGTGTCATCACATAGATGAATATCATCAATTATTAATAATAACAGAATCAGAAGTGTGTATTAAATCGGTAGCCCTTCACATCAATCCGTACACAAGAAGTAACTCTCTCTTTCAAAAAGGTTGGTGACCCCTGCACTATACCATCAATTACACACACACACACACACACACACACACACACACACACACAAGTATTCAGAGTATTGCAGGTACGTATCAAGATTCTGATTAATTTTATGATTAGGGACATCCAGTGTATATATTTGGAGGCATTAACTGGTCACACTTGCAGCATACTAGCGTGTTGTTGTGATTGCTTCAATGAAACGTTTTGGGGCTGACCTTGTCAATCTAAGTAGGACAATTTAAACTATCAGTCTCTAATTCAGCATTATCACTACAAAGTGGGACAGAGTTAACGACTGTATGATATCCAATGGTCAGATTCAAGGTAAAAATGATGAGGAATCAATCAATGGTCTCGCAACTTGCCACATTCCCTCCTCCTCGGCTGGCTTTCTCCTTAACATTAACAGCACATATCACCCGTCTTCCTAGTCTTTTTGTCTGCGGCACTGATGCAAGATCTGCTTTTTTGTGAACACACCAAAAAAAAAAAAAAACAACTCTGAAGGTCACATGTTAGGTTGATTGTTTTTAGTTATCATACATTTCCATATTATTCATGATAAATTGATTATGCTTGCAATGAAGAACGCTTATGCCTGCAATGAAGAACTCTTATGCCTTTAATAAAGATATAATTATGCTTCTTATAAAGATATGCTCACATTTATAATAAAGAATGCTAAGTGCACTGTGTGACAGTTGAGGGACGCAACCACCGTTCCGAGAAAGTAGTTGGAAAGAGATAAGTATTAAGACTAAACAAGAGCAAAGTCTAACACGGATGTTGCTGTCAACACCAGCTGCAACTTGGTATTTTTGTCATGACACATGTACGTAACTTTCACTCGCATACACACACATAGTCAAACAATTTCAGTGTGTCTTCAACAGCCCTCACCCTTTAGGTTGGACACACCCTGTATTAGATTCCCAATGAGAAATAAATGAGAGGGCGAGCGGGGAGATCCTTGGGTGACGTGCAGAGAACTGAAACCTCACGGTTCTCTTCGTTCCCCCCTTGAGTGATTGGTACCAGAATCAAGTGTCTCCTCTCCTCATTGGGTCTTTATTATGAATGTCTTATTGATAACCCCGACATCACACCTTGACTTTCCCAAACCAAAACGTTAAGAACTGTCACACAAGCAGACTTTTTAACTTCCAGGAATGTATCACCTTGTCAGATTCCATCAACTGTTTCAGAATCAAAAACTCAAAATGACGAGAGCCAAAAATCAACAGTGAAAATTCAAAACTTGAGTCCCCTAAGTCATCAGTTACACTATGTTTATTATTTGACTGTCAACAGCGACTCCAGCTATAACTAGTTGGACCAGCTCATTCAACAATCGATCACTGGGTTCTGCACCCTGGCACAACAACCCACTTTAGTAACTCTATTGACTTTTTTCTTGCACAAAAGGAAATGAACTTGCGGTGAGCACATGAGTGGAGCCCTGGTCTCGTGAGCGGGAAAGCCTGCTGTTTATGGATTAACACAGTGAGGCCAAGGGGTCCATCAATACCAGCTAATGAGAAATGACTGAACGTCCATCCGTTTTCTGCCGCTAAATGATTGAATGTTGAGCAAAATGAATGAAAAACATTCAACGGTTGAAAGTTTTTAATATCAAGTTCAGTGATAGAAATTGAGTTGACTGTACAAGAAAATAAACACACAAATAAAATACTTCAGATTATGCTTTTTTTGGTTGTAAATCACAGAGTAGGGAATGCCGCCACTCGTAACTCCTTGTCCCACCTGCTCCCAAACCCCAGGGATCAGCTCAGTCTCATTAAGCTACTTTACAGACTTGATCGGGAGAACTGAGAATTAAAAACTGGATCTGCACAAAGACATTTCTAAGCTCATGATAAGTGTTGCTTTTAACATCCAGTCTATATTGCTTGTCATTGGGATCACAGGGTGCACCCTAGACTGGTTGCCACTTGCCAGCCTATCCCAAGGTACAAACCAATCATTCATACTCACATTCACACCCCGTAGAGTCCTTAATTAACCTAACATGCATAGAGTATTTACCTGGAGAAGATCTACGCAAGCACAGGAAGAACATGACAACATCACACAGGTTGGCCAAAGAAAATATTCAAACTCCAAACGTCAGAACTGTGAGACAGAAGCGCTAAGCAGTTTGCCGCCTTGCTGGCCATAAAAAGATGACAATATTTTAATATACCAGTACAGTGCCTTTGCCTGCTGTGTCCCTACTCTTTCAGTAGATTGTGTCACAAACAGTGACAAAAACCTAAAGGAAATATATTGGATATTGCAGTGAGACCCCCCCCCTCCGCCCCCCCCCCCACCCCGCAATAAAATCCTGTGGTCCCACACAAAGGATTACAGGCGTTTGGAATGATCTCTCTGTAGCACATTCCCCATTGATTGTGGGGGGGAGGGGGGGGCTTGATTTGTGAGTGTTCTGTGTTTAAAATAAAAAGTCAAGCTGTACTGCAGCAGATAAATGACTAAGGTCTGTGTGAAAATGACAGTAAGCAACAAGCCTTTACATCTGCACCCCTACAATCCATTGTGCAGCTCAGTGCTCCTTGCCACCACCCATTCAGACCTTCTGTAAATCAAAACAGCCGCATCTTTTGTCTGACTCAGTCAACTGGAAAAGATGGCGCAATAAAACACAATTTTCTTTTTACTTGTTTCTCACGGTTTCAATACAAGCAACTACTGTGTGTGTAAATTTCCCCAGTGTGGGACAAATAAGGGATATCTTATCTTACAGAGCTGTCAAAAGAGATAGGCGGTAGTATTACAAAATGAAACTATTGGAGATTACAAGCGGGTCACAATATTAACAATCAATTAACATAAAAAATATACTGTGAAACAATTCCTTCATGTTATATTTTAGGAAGGAAAACAAACGATAAGCATGATTTGAATATTTACAATGACTGTAGAAAACAAACAAACAACAAATATAATTATTGTGGCATACACATGGGTCACAATTGTGCTACAAAGCTACAGTTGAGATTGAGTCCATACAACCATGTGTAATATACAAACTATGTCACATACTCAGGTTATTTTTCTGTTTTTTACGTTTACTATAAAGTGAATGTCTGCAGAGTACGCGACATGCATATTAATGATCTTACCTTGCTTGAGGCACTTTTGGAACTTTAACGTTTCAATCCATGGGTGTTTAGACTCTTCTTTCAGATCCACTTCAAGTTTATTTGATCACTTTGATAAATAATGTCAAGGACCTTGGATGAGTTGAAATAGTAGTTACATTTTCAGCTCCCCCACAAAAATATTAATCCCTCATTTTGATCAGACTTCTTAAGGATAGAAATTCAAGAAACAGACAGTCCAGCCCAGGGCAGTTTAAAGTCCATTTAAACTTATCGCGGGTCTGTTGCAGGAGTCTTCATTCAGTGTGGCTGAAAGTAGCTGAAATAGATAAGTGAGATCCGAAAATAAAATTCCTGAGAGGAAAATTCACCATACAGTGCACCTTCCCTTCAGACGGCCGCTCGCTTCACCAGGGAAAAAACGCACCAGCAGTTTTAGCCAAAACCCAATGTTGATACTCCGAGTCCCTCCTCCCATCACAGAGCTGCAGCAACACCTATTAAGTCCACCGAATTCAATTACACTTCCGGTTATAACTTTCAAAATAATCTTGTACATGCTGTGTTTTTAACAAACGTTTGCGATCAGGGATATGCTCATCATATAAGTATTGGATTTCTTATATACTATGAATTTGCTGAATAAGTCAGTTGTGCTGTATATAAATTCCATAAAGAAAGTGTTGAATCTAACTTAAAATATATTTTATTTTGAAGACAAACTAAACAAATTCCGTCAACTAGCGGTTAATCAAATTGTGCTTCACGTAGAGTCTATTTAGGCGCCTCACACGAAAACCCTTTTGTGAGAACGAGTCGTAGTTCGGATGAACAAAAGACAAACAGTTGGCCAAAGGGCCAAAGATGCTCGCTGCAGCCCGGCCTTTCCCACATATATTTAATTAAAAATGCCCAATGAATATATGTAATGTATATACAGTATTTGAAATATCTACCTCCACCTTGAACAAAAGATAAAAATAATTAACGTACTATGTTCTTAGAGCCCTTTCTTGTAATCGTTGTACCTGTTATTATATGCTGCTGAAATTAGCTAATGTGATAACATTTTATCATGATTTTAGTAGGTCAGTAGGCCGATTGTTAGATGGAAGCAAACAGGTTTTTGTGGCACGTTAGCCAAACACCACTAGGAGGCATTAAATCCCCTGAACATGTTTTACAGTCAATCGCATAATATATGGTTTACAGTCAATCACTTAACACGCATTATTGACATAAAAAAATGTCAATAATTGAATGCCTCATTGACATTAGAAATATCAATCATGCATTTAAAATATCATCTTTTACTGCCAGTGTCATAACAGTTTTGATTTATTTAGCACAACGAAAAAAACATGTCTGCACACGAAATAGTTTGCCTCTTTTACTAACTTTCATCCTGCTCATAATGAGGGGGGGAAAAGTAGCTTTAGCACAGGCCTTCATGTCATCAAAACGTGGTTCCATAGCTTTGCCATAATGAAATTTTAAAAAATGCAAAATTGTAAATTAGCTAATACAGGGAGTGACAACTGAAAAAATATGCCTTACCTGTATATGTTTTTCTGACTAGCGAGTTTTTTAACCCCAGGAGCTCAGTTTTTAGGCTGGCACAAGACAACAGATTTACCAACAATCATTCATGTAGCAGACATCAAACAATCCTCTGAAGTAAGGCAATAGATGGGGAATATCTTGCATCTCCATATCTGCTGCCTCAATGTCATTAATGCTTCCTAGTTTAAAATTCCAGTCTTTTTTTTCTGTCCTCAAGATTCCAATTCTTCAATCAAAATATACATATATTTTGTTCCATCATGTTGCCATCCACGGAAGCCAAAATAAATGAGGGTATTTTGACAAAGGAATTGAGATTACAAAATCGGTTTTCAAATTTTAGGAGTTCAAGTAAAAAGCGTTCAGAAAAAAAACTCAAATAGATGAGCTGAAAAATCTACTGCAGTACAGTAGATAAGTACTTACTTATCCTACCACAGCTAATTTCCTGGCAATGGAAAAGGCTCGACCCCCTCTTAGGCTCCGCTTAGCCCTCGGTATCTCTAATAGTGTCAGGTGCATAATGGTGGGGGAGCTCAGAGAGGTAAGGTGGGGCGAGGCCATTTAAAGATTTGAAAACAAATAATAGCATCCTGCCCCTCTTTACTGTGAGGCCGATGTACTAACCAGTCAACCACCGTGCTGCCACAGCTAATTTGTACATAGCAAAATGTCACATTACCATGTTCATGCAGTAGTAAAGTCATAACTACAGTAAACACTACTCAACTGTATTTATAGAGAGAGCACTTTCAAACTAGTATGAAAAAGACTTCTGTCATAAATATCAAGCAATTTACTTGCTTGTGCTACACTATTATTAATTATAAAGACGGTTTACAATAAACAAAAAAATTTCTTTTTATTTTTACATTACTCAACTCAACTGTATTTATAGAGCACTTTCAAACAGCCATGGCTACATACAAAGTGCTGTACATGGAGCAACTATCATATATACAACAATAAAGCAATAAATCAGTAACAAAGACGGTAGAAAGCCCCCAGACAGTAAAACTAAGATCAAGTCTTATGTCATGCTGAGTCAAATGCCAACGAATACAAGTGAGTTTTTTTCTGCACAGCCGTTTTGTGTTGTGGAACAAAAGTTAACCCGAGTAAATAATTTCAGATAGGCCACATAAAAATACTGCTACATGAATTAATGAATCAACAATAAGCCATAAACTGGAGCAGTATTGATTTACTGAGAAACAATACATTTACACTTAAGACTATATTTGCTTGCCATCAGTATGGGAACAATATGAGAAAACAGGCTTATTTAAAAAAAAAAAAGACATTCATCAAAGTACGTAAATTAAATCCTTTTCACGGAGAGATATGTATCGGAAATATGAGGACTTCTTTATGCGTCAAGGAAAATTGATTTAGTCATCAAAGTCAGGGATGTCGTCATAGGAGTATCCAGGGTATCCTTTTGATGCATAATAAGCTATTCGCAAGTGGTAAATTCCAGGAAGAAAAACAAGGATTCCTATGACCAGGACTGGAATGGTTCGGTCGGAGTGCTGAAAGGGATTGCAAAAAACGTGTCAGTGTAACGAGTGGCATTTTGAAAGTCATCATTGAAAAAATTATGCACTATGAAAAGCCTTTTACTCACGGTCACTCCAAAATATCCAGCCAGGAGAAGAGAACCGATGATGATTAACAGAGAGCCAATCAAGAACAGGACTGCAGCGAGCGCGATGGCTTTGTACGGGACTTTGGGTGGACTTCTTTTGAACTGTAACCCAAGAACATAGAATGAATTACACTGTTCACACTCATACTTTGAACGCAAGTCAACTTTTTGAGCCATGGGAATTTAATGTACATTATGACGGTCTGCATGCATGTGGTCTAGTTCTTTGTCAGTGTGTAGAGAGAGTAAAGAGAGCGAATTGATTGTATGATAATGTATTACGTCAGTTGTCCCGTTAGTTTGATTTTAAAATGAAAATGCCTTGTGTTATAGGCCACATCTAAAAGGATACTGAACTTTTGTTTATTTCGTTTTTTTAACAGCAGTGAAAATTTATATTTTTGTTGTTGTGAATTTGAAAATAAAGTGATTTTCATGCATATTAAAACTTTTAAAAAATGTTTTTAAATGCGCTGTACGCTACCATATTTATCGAACATGTGACAGTATAACCTGGATAGAGACATCACATGTGCGTGACACGCACAATTATTGATAACGCCTACGCAAATGCTTTGAGCGTTGATCCTGAAAGGATTATGCCGCATCATTTGGCAGCAAAATGACCAAATAGACCTCGGACGAGTGCGTTCAAGTCCTGCAATGTTGTGTTCTCAGGCAGGAAATAAGTCAGAGACAAGCCGGCTGCCAGAACAATTGTTCAAAACAGGCATAACATGCTGACAGCCCGCGCCCCCCAAAAAAAAAAAATCATAACATAGACATCGGTGCCTTGTTAGAATTTTATTTTGAAGTTTTGGAAAATGACCAGCAAGATGAAACACTGTGAGTGTGAGTCTGTGTGTCTATTTGTTCAAAAATGTTGCGGAAAACATGTAATAAGTTAATATAGTAGTGTATTTCTCAGCTTTTAGGCACTTTTTGGCAAATGTGTGCACTGCTGTGGGCACATGTGACACATGTTTGTACACTCGCTCGTGCTTCTAACTTCAGGCAACACTTTTTGGGGCTTGTAGAAAAGTTAATACCTGTTTAAAGCGGTAAAAGACTTCAGAACATGTAAACGTTAATGTCCGTTTGCCCCGACCATTGGACAAGCGGTGGACACTGTTTAGCAGTACATTATTGTGATTTAACATGTTAGTTCTTATTGAATGCTTAAACTTTGGATAATTATTGTGCAATAATGCACAAATACAGAGAGCACATTCTAATGGGCAGATTTTCTTTTATTTATTTTTATATTTAAGTTTACATTTCCATGTCTTGGTTTTGCACTTCAATGCAGTGTGTGAATATGACATACTTTCAATGTTTAATTTGTATACAATTTTATTTCTATGCATGTGGCAAGCTGCCATCTGTTGAGTTCAAATAAATGCCAAATGTTCTATATTGTACAGTTTTTTTATTACAAACTTATTTTCCAGTATAAATAGAACATAGTGGGGGAAAAAATCATTGCTGAGAAACTAAATACTTTTACAAGGCAGTAATTATATTTGTGTCTCACTTACTTTTTGGAATAAGTGATTTGTAATTATAACTCATTGCTTTTTTTAAAGTACCGGTAACATGCCCAACACTGGTAGCCTGTGTGTGCTAAGTCCCTATGTCAGAAATGAAATCAGGTATCAGCCACAACATGCTTCCTTTTTAGATGCTCGTTTATCACCGTCGTGCTGTCTAAAAGTGAAGCTCATATTGTATTAAGTATTTTTCGATGACCTTTTTACATGGCATTTGAAATCAAATTACACTTGTTAGCATGGCCGAAACAAGACTTTGACGTCAGTGCATTAGTCTAACGGCGACCCAGAAACTTTGAAATTACAAAATAAGACAAAAAAAAAAACTATGGATAAAGTATTGTCTGGGCCATCTTACCTGCAAATCAATGTAGCCGTCGTCATGAGTGGCTAACCTGGAGTACTTCACTTTACTGGCAGGAACGCCATTCACAACGCTACGAGCTGGCATCTTTGGTTTGCTACTGTCAGCTTGCTTAATAGCGCCGGGTACTGTCTAAAAGAACACTGATAACACCGTGACCATTCTTCAGTGGATAAACTAGCGGAAAATAATTAAATAAAGCCCAAAGAAAAACGTAAACATGAGATTATGTGACTGTCAAGTCCGTTCTTCTCGCGCGGCACTTCCTTGTTTTCAGTACGCATGCGCAGGATGCATTGCGTCGTCAAGGTTGTTGTTGACAAATATATTTTTACAAATGTCAATAATGATGATAAATAAATAAATAGATAGATAAATAAAATCTACATTTTACACACGTCCACATGTACAATACATTTACCTAATAATAACATTTTCCCCATTCGACAAGCTACACTTTTCCAGTTTAACCGCGAGAGTACGCTGTCGAGTCTTCAGCAATACTGTAATGACAAGAAGCCACAATGCGCTGCATCCTCACACAAACTGTGTGAGGATTTATATTTGTGCATGCTCATTTCCGCAGAGGCTGTCGATGCTCAGCTTTGTTATCACAATAGTCTCAGTCTCACAAGATAACGTTTCTGTCCAGGCTGTGGGTTTGCTAATAAATCACATGACAGATAATGATATTCCAGAGATTGTGTCTGCATGCTGTTTCGAAGAAACAGATGAGAGTATTGTAGGATCACCGGTGACGTAAATACCAATTTTTTTGAAATTCTATACATCTTTTTCTACATATTCCATGAAAATGCAGATTATGCAGATGAATCTTAATAATTAGAATATCGTTACCCATTTTATCATTTCAGTGGTTCCGTTCAAAAGTGCAACACATGATAGCACATTCATTGTGAAAATAATTTTCAGGTCATTTTGTTCCTCGAAATATTTGTATGTTCGTTTCTTATATAATATTCTATTTTCTTGAGGGTTTCATGACATATTTCACTATGTGAACTGAATATATGTAATCCATAAATTTCCCTTTTAATTAAACTACTGAAATAAATTAAATATCACAAGCCGCAGCCAATCATCGTGGTATAGTGGATTCGTGACCGAATCAATTTTGATCTGTTTTATTTGAAAAAAAATCTTCTAATTTTAATACATCGACATTGCTCTGATCATACCTAAAAATAGCCAGTGGTATAATGTTCAATAAAGCACATAAAAAATATAATTGGCACAATTCTTGTCACATAATCTATTCATCCATCCATCCATCCATCCATTTACAACACTTCCTATCATGAACAAGGAGCTGCTGGAGCCTATCCTAGCTGACTTCAGGTGGATTACACCCTGAACTGGTCGCCAGTCAGTCACAGGGCACATATAGAGACAAACAGCCATTCACACCCACATCCACACCATCACTGAGTGGGAACCTACCCCACGCTGCCCACTCACAAGTCAGGCGAGTGTACCACTACACCAGAGAGGTATCCGAACTTTTTCTTTTGAGGGCCGCATACAAAATAAAGGAAGGATGAAAGGGCCACCAATTTTTGAAACACGCTTAAGTCAGTCAAGAAAGCAATTACTGTATATATTGTTTGTATTGTCTAGTTAATTTCATCAGCTTTCTATTAAAGGTGTTAAGGCAAATAGTTGAGGAGTTTTCCAAGTTTTGGGGGTGGCCAACAGCCATCTATCTCACAGATGAGATCCATCACTGTTCTAAACAGCAGCCGAATTACATCTCCACATTCAGAACCAAAAATAGAAAAGTCTGTAGTAAAGTGACCATCTTTCAAACAGTTACTTGAGGATCATTAATGTGATGGCTTCATAAATCAGCCATGGAGCACAAAGTGAAATAAACTGTCTTTTCCTCTAAAATGGAATGATCTTTATTCACTGCAGTGTTTTGAAGGTAAATTGTGTTATTCTTTCAATCATAAATGGTTAATTTGTATCTTCAAATTTGGAGATAAGTTTTACTTTACAACTATTTTTCTGACAACCTCACTCTGCCCACCTTCACCTTTTTTAACTAATCTTGCGGCCCATGTCAAATGTAACTTATGGGGGAGGGGTTGTTGTTTTGGGTTTTTTTGTCACGTCGCGGGCCACTGAAAAATGGATGGCGGTTCGCAAATGGCCCCGGGCCATAGTTTGGACATCAGTGCACTACACCATCAGCATCACGTCACATAATTAAAGCTATGAATAATTAAAGCCATTGTGGTCGGTGTAGCATTGACCCTGCTACCCCCACCTACCTTTGCCCTGCTCGTGTTAGAAAATTGGTCTGTCACATAGGCAAATATAGACACTGCTGTAGGCATAATTCAGATTGCTGCCTTGCCCTACAGGGGCCTTCATAATGATCCGAGCTCTCCGACAGGTCTGCAGTCAATGATGAATGTCCACAGTTTGTAAATAGCCCAGAGGCCACCACTATTTCCTCAGCAGTGATAATACACCGAATGCATATTTGTATTAGAAGTGCTTGCGGCATCAATAATAAACTCTCAAAGCGATGCTGCCGCACTGTACGCAGTGAGTCTTGAGTGATCACGAGGGTGCTGGATGACCTTGGCCATATCTACACTTTCAGAGCTGTACTGTTGCTCGAGCGGAGGCAATTGAGCATTTGCAAATGGCCTCAGACAAACAGAGAGTGTAAACGACATCCTGAAATATGTGAAGAGGGGCTGTTTGCTATTCCCCTGACCAAGCTTTGCCAGGATGGCCTCAGCAGGGTCAAGGGGGTCAAACGACATAGTCACTGAAAAATATAGACAATGACAGATTAAACATGTCGGAGGAATGAGGTCTGCAAACAGACATAAACAAGGCGGTAAACAAGGTTATAAAGAAGATTCTCCATTTTCACACGACACTCTCAAGAGGAATGTAAGCCACAAAAGCATCCATTTATGTTTCCTATCCCCATGATGCTGCAGGTAGTACATTTAGTATGAATCATGTGTATTAGGCAGGACTATACAGTATATATTGTAAATCTTTCTATTATGTTTAAATCCAGTGGTATATTTGCGTCCTCAGTTCTACAGAATTAGTAAATCAGCCTCTCAGGATGGTTTTGCTTTACAGTACAGAATTGCATTTACTTTTTCTTAATTGGATTGGCCACTCAAACCTAACCACATCTGCAACGTAAATACACTCTCTAAATACTGCTGCATCACTGGCACACACTCCTTTGTGTGCCAAGTCCATCATTATTTGTCCTCTCGCTTCATTTGTAAATCCAATTTCGAGATTTTAGATCATTCATGTCAAAGCAGCTTAATCCTCCCCTGAAACATTGTCTTAAATGTATCTGATGCATTGCAAGACAAATGTGTTTCCAGTCCGCAGACATTCTGACCTCTATGTGCTTAAAATATTGAAATCCAAAATATTAGATACAGCTCTCAGTATGATGCATAACACTTCTGCAAGTTACAGACATTCACAAAAAAATAAATAAATAAATAAAAATACACACTGCATTTTAGGCTGCAATTTTGTCATGTACTGTCACTTGCTGTCAATTGTGAATATGATGGTACAGTGCCTCAGGGCTGAGTTTGTGAATGTCCAAACCCAGAAAACAGGTGAGTAATAATGGTCGTTACCCGAGTCCTTATGCCGTGATGGAATTTTTTTGTCAACAACAATTGTCAAAATGGCCGTCCCCTGAGTTTGTGAAAACGGGTATGTGCATGTGACATAGTACCAGTCATTCCATTCTCAATGCCGCTTGCCCAGACTGGGCTGGCTTGAAATACTGCCAGAAGCTCATAGGTGGTCACCAGACTGACCATGCTCAGCTCTGGTCACAATCCTGTTTTGAAGACAGGAGCAGAAAGTACGGTATAGATGTCAGATACAGATAGTTTTCAAGTAAAAAGTCCAAAGAAAAATAAATATTTCAGTAAAGTACAGATACTTGGAAAATCCTCCTAAGTACAGTAAATAAGTAATTATACTTTGGTATTGGTACTGGGATTTCCCACCACTGGCCATGACCCTGAACAGGCTAAATAAAAGAAAATGCATGGATAATATCCAGTTGTATTGACAGAATTTTACTGTATTTCCTTTTCCTTGTTACAGGGTCGTCACGCATTCATTGAAACATTCCAAATAACCTGTGCAAAAACCTTGTGCCTAATTAACCCGCAGCCTTTTTGTGTCGTGTTTAAATACTCTCCAGATATCGACAGCTGCATTCTCTTGGAATCTTCCAGTTCACGTAGGTTTTTGCTTCATCAGAAACCAATGGCCTGTAAGCATCGATGTAACGTACGTGGCATAACAATAGCGCTGCTGGAGTGCCATCTGGAGATGTGATTAATTAAGCAGGTGATAGACAAGTCGTCTTTGGTTCGACGGGAACAAAGTATATTGTCATATACTGTATAGCTCATCTCTGCCACTGCCACAGCTGAGCACATACATGTAGGGCCATTATTGAAGCAAAACCATTTACAAATGCATATTTCAATCCACAAATATTACACTGCCTTAAAGATATGTGTGTGTGTGTGTGTGTGTGTGTGTGTGTGTGTGTGAGAGAGAGAGAGAGAGAGAGAGAGAGAGAGAGAGAGAGAGAGAGAGAGAGAGAGAGAGACTCCTAAGAGGACAACATCCTTTGGGTGACACCACCCAGAATAGGAGAACAACATTCAAGCCATAATTAGAATCGTGTTTGGAGTGGAGTTTTGTCTGCTGAGATAATGAGGTCCGCTTTTCATTACAGCAATTGCACATAGCCTCAATGATTGGAGAGCAACAAAAGCCTGCACCATTATAGCACTAGAGAATCCTGAAAAATCTCAATCTCCCTACATGCTTACATTCTTACTTTTAAAGGGAAGTCCGAACTAAATGAATGTGACGTGGGTGGTACACATGCAGGTCCTACTGATGTTAAAATAGACATGCAAATACCGAGATAATCTCTTCATACTTTGGTGGACAGAGCAATATACACAGCAGATAAATCATTTGACAGACGGGCGGGCACCTTTATTAAACATAATGAGTAATGTGTACGCGGCTTGAATGTGAATTTTGAAAAATAATTCCTTGTTTTTAAGATGTACAGAAGGCATTTGCGTAAAATATATGGGATACTTTACTGAGACTGTTGTCACACTCGATGCATAACAATGCAATGAACTTGGATGCCGTTTCATTAATGATTTTGATTGGCTGCAAGCATAGTTACATTATTTCTTATAAATCCAATATGTTGTACCTAA